GGTGGAAAAACCAATTCAAGCAAAAATGAGAAAATGTGCACGTGTGAGGTGTTTGAGGAAAATCATTTCCATTGAACTTTTGTGCCATCAAATACTCATAAAGATGGAAAATGGAATTCCATTTTCGATGCAAAATCCATGGTATCATCAAACATGCCCTTATTTCATTTTTGAAACATATAGAGAAATTGAATTTGAATCTCATAAGATTATTGCTAAAGAAATTTTTGCTTAAATGAAAGTTGAACCTACATTTCATGAAAAGTCATTCATAAGCATAAGCACTTTGATGAAAATGTCAATGATAAGACAACAAATTCAACTGAAATCTTATATAATTACTTAAATTAAGGTTTGAACAATTTCAAAAATATGAAAAATACTTATGAGCTTTTGTTTGATTCAAAAAATTGGTGATTGTAAATAATATTCGTTTGAAGTACTCTTATCATAAGTTTGAAGAACTTTTGAAACACGGCAAGGATTCAAAAATGGATGAATATGAGTTCGTTTCTAAGATGCAAGTTGTTAGAAACGTTTTTCAAACGAGACCAAAAGGCGAATGAAGTTTTAGACTCTATAAGAATGATGGACTACTATTTTCAACTGTATGAAATGCTTATAGAATATTATTAATTATATTAGTACTATTGCATCATTCGAAACAAACTTCTCAAAGTTAAAGTTGATAAAATTCTATATTTAAAATTGGCTTAAGACCCTCAAAATTTGATGGCAGCACAAGGGGATTCCCCACTGCACTCCCATTTGCTACCATTTTTTACATCTTAAGAAGCTTCTTAAGGTGTTCAAACAATTGCTGCTTGAGAGTGCTGGTTGTGCGACGATGACGATTGAAAATGTGATGACGGTAGTAGCGATGGTAGGGTAAGGTGGGTTTGGAATGATGACATTTTTCCTTCTTCATTTTTCATTGTTCCATTTTAAAGTTATTTTTACCTTATTTTAAATTTTTAAATATTTTATAATGAGTGGCCCTTTTTTAATTATTATGCTGGTCAAATGGGTTGGCTAACAAAAAAAAAGGTGAAATTTCATTTGGATGAATGAAATTAATTTCTCAAAGGTTGAGGACACAATTGTAAAAAAATGAAAAATGAAAAAAAATTAAAGATTAGACATGGATTTGTAAATGACGTGAAAGGTTGGAGATGTTTGCTATTATTTAACCTAAAATTTAAAGAGTGCTATGCTTATTAAAATAAATAAATTAAACAATAGAAATGAATCCACTAAGCACCATAACTTACTAAATAGCAGGGGTGGGATTTATTAATTAATTGGTAAATAAATTTATTGTGGTGTCAAAAAATAAACTAGATTTATTGGAATTGATATGTCATATCACTTTTGAAATGGTACGTAGTATGTTTAGGAATGGCAAAAAAACTCGACAACCTAATACCCGCCGTGCCCCGCCCCGAATTGGGCGGGAAAACCCCGCTTAAACGGATAACGGGCCCGTCAAAAAAAAATTTTATTATTATTATTTTGTTTTAGAATTCTATACTTTAAATGAAAATTTTTATTAGTTCTAATAGAAAATAACAACTAAAATTATTTGTCTAAATCTAATGAATATGGGCAAAAAAATAAATTATCGAAAAAAAAAAATTAAACGAGAAATAAATGGGGAAAGGGCCTACCCCCACCCTCCCCCGCCTTAAACAGGTAACGGGGCGTCGACGGGGCAAAGAATTTCTTAGCGGGGCGCCCTCCCCGTCCCGATCTGTTGCCATCCTACCTCAAGCTCCATCGACTTGAGGCCGAACCTTTGTGTTTGACACCTTAGATCAAACTCAAACACTTGTCAATTGGGCTTCGAATGAGCCCAAAGAAATAGAAGTCATGTAGGGCAAATTGATATCATCTCTCCTCAGAGGAAAGTGTAAAAGTATCTCGTTAAACATATGATAGCACGAGGAGAATGTCATGTAATAGAAAACAATAAGAAAAACATGTGAGAAAGTGAATTTGAGAATCTTGTGAAGTAACAACTAACTCAATCAATAAGAACCACGTCACACAGTCATCTAGAGTTGTAATTTATTGTGGGCTCATCTACACACACACAAAAAAAAAAAAAAAGAAAAAAAGACACGTGTACGAGTGATCCTAAACTTGGAAAACCTATAAATACTCCAAAAATTTACCAAGGAAAGGAAGTAAGGTGATAAACCTTAGCTAAACTCTAGCTCATCCTAGCCTTTACTTGACAGCGGTCATCACTTAGATTTAACGATCGATAAAAGGCTTGAAAAAAAATTAGAGATGGAGATGATTGAGAGACTTATTGGCTTCAACTTTTGGGCTCAAACAATTTACTTTTGTGCTACTTTGTGTAAAAGTGGAGTCCATGATTAAGGTTCAAATGTCATGATAATTAAGTTTTACTTTAGCCATCAAAATATAGCCTGTTTTGTAGGGATTAAAATTTAGATTTCAACTTCAATCTAATTTTAATAACTAATTTCATGTGGACCATAACTTTTCAACAACACATTTCATCCATTTTTATTAAAATCTATTAAAAAATTGATTTTAATTCCTACCAAATTGGGGCATAATTAGTCCTTGTTTGACAACAATTATTTGAAAATTCTTTTATTTACATACTTATTTTCAATTACATTTACATAATAAAATGTTGTTTATGCAAATCCAAAAATTTTCACTACTTTTTGACTGCATAGTCTCTTAAAAATGACTATGCAAATCATCATTTTTTTTTTTTTTTTTTTTTTTGTGTAAATAATGACCACCAAATAGAGACTAGCCCCTGTTTGGTGCACATTATCAACCCAAGAATATTTTTTTTTATGTGATGGGAAATATGTGGTTGAAAAAGAAGCATAAATTATTAATGTGATGAAAAATATTATTTTATTGAAAAATTGTGGTTGAAAATAAGTAGAATAATGAAAATGGAAAAAATAATTTTCAAAATCCTCGATATCATCAACGAGAAATCATAAAAAACTGCGACTTTTTGGACTATTATTTCTTATATACTACTAATTGTACGTAGCAACCTATGTTAAACAAAAACAATAATAATATGTGCTTTAATATTGGAAAAAAATTCAAGAAAGAGAAGCTCAGAAAAGACGACGATGAAGAGAAAGAAGATATTGGGTTATTAGGGAAGGAGATTCAAAAATGGAATAAAAAACGCGAGATGGAAACGCGAGAAGGTGGTCGTGATGACACTTTACCACTTGTGAGTGCCTCCAAGCATAATTTCTGATTTCGTTTTTTTTTTTTTCTCTTTTTTTTATTGAATTGGAGAATTATACCAAGGAAATTTGCTGGGGATGCCCAATTTTTATGTGGTTTAATATGTACGATCAAGTTAGAATGATGTATAAGTTTTTCTAATTTTCTTCCTAAGCATCGAATTGAACTTGCTTGGTAGGTCACATCGATAGGAGTATAAAAGTAGAGTGGACCGCCTGAGTCATACATGCCGTGTCGTGATATAATTTCTATCCCAATTTTATTTTCTACTTAGTTTGTTAAAGGGATAATTGCACTAAAAATCCAAAACCTTTGAAATATTAGCAGACTTTCCCCAAACATTTCAAACGTTGCAGCTGTCACCCCTAACCTTTCAAACCGTTGCATGTGAGATCCCTTTAGATGGTTTCCATCCAAAATGTCGTTAGTTGACCACCAAAATAAATTTCGATCATTTTCTAATAAGATAAGAGATGGTAAAATCGTCTATACATTATATACATTCTTAAAAAAAAAAAAACAAAGCAAAACTTAATCTTCTTCGACTAATCCCCCTACCCCCATCCCTTCCCAAATCAAAACCAAAATTCTCAATCACGATTGTTTAGTCCGACGGGCCCGATGTTTTAGCACCTCGGGTTGGGTCAGATACTCGGACTTGGATAGGATCGAGTCCTCTTTGAATCCATTGATTCGCATTGGACCCATTGAAGATGACGATAAAGGATCAATCATGTCAGTGGCGAAGGGTTTAGCGTACAGAGACAAGGGTTTTTGGTCGGATTTCCTAGAGAGGGAAGGAGCAGAAAGGGAATTTTGGAAGTGATTATTCTTGGCGACGACGGAGATGGCGCCCCACCGCCGACTCTAGGGGTGGTAGGTAGCATGAAGCCTTGGAGAGACAGAGAAAAAGAACTGTCTTTGGTTTGGATTGAGTACGATGAAGGATCAATCGTGACTAAGATTTTTGGTTTTGATTTGGGGAGGGGAGGGGAGGGGTGGGGTGGAGTGGGGGGATTGGTTGAAGAAGATGAAGTTTTGTTTTCATTTTTTTTTTAAGAATGTATATAATTTATAGAAGATTTTACCCTAGCCTATTTTGTTAGAAAATGGTCAAAATTTATTTTGGTGGTCAACTAACGACATTTTGGATGGAAACCGTCTAAAAGGGTCTCTCATGCAACGGTTGAAAATGTTATGGGTAACGGCTGCAACATTTGAAAGGTTTGGGGAAAGTCTGCTAATGTTTGAAAGATTTGGAGTTTTTGCTGCAATTATCCCCTTGTTAAAACGAAACTCTTGTATTGACTCTTAAAATTCGTCGATTGCAAAGTGCGATCAGTTTTAAATTTTAAATTAAAAATATTGTAACACTGCTTGAATTTTGTTTTATTTTTTAAACCACGAATATAATGAACACAGGTATTTTAACAACAATAACTTCGTATAAAGAATTGAAAGAATAACGATAGATATGTACAATACGTACAAGATGAATCCCAGATTCAATAATTCTGTAAAAATTGTACTCCCAAATCACAACAGAACCTCTTTGTTGAGTTCAAGTTTTTTACAGTCTTTCACTGGAACCAATTATAAGCAGAAATAATTTATTTTCATAAGAAATTATTTTCATCGAAGAAACGATTGAGAAAGCTTCAGCAAATTGTTGATAGGTGGCCTTCTGGCATTGCATAATAGCTTCTTTACTCCTGCTGTCACCTGTCATTCAAACAGTCCAGATAATTTTAAATACATTCTCTAAACAAACGAATGATAGAAAAGGGTATGTTTTTCGTGAGATGGGAAATGAAATGTACTAGTCCTAGACTCGTAAAAACTTGTTACGACCTTTCCGAGACTTTCCCTTCCATATGGAACAGCTCTCTTGCAGGAAAGAGAGGTCGATGGAGGTGATTTCCGGCTAGTTTCTTCTCTGCACATTGATTTTCCTTGACTAAACCTTCCTGTAATTTCTGGAGATTTGCTCCATTGGAGGCTAGATTGCTGCCAGCATTTAGAAATTCAGATGTTAGCTATATTATTATTAAAAAAATTTATATTTACAAAATCTGAAGGAATGTTTCTAGTTAAATATATATGAATATATACCTGTAGACTTCTGCTTCTTGTTGTTACACCAAGACTGCTGTGCCATTGTGTATTCAGAGCACTTGGGAGGCTTGATTCCTAGGGTAAGAACTCATCAATCACTACGGAAATCGGATTTTTTTTTTAAGCAACTGTCATGGAATCGAGTGTCTTGAACATTAAACTGTCATGTTGTCTATAAATTTAACGTCGCGAAAAGTTATATTCAAATATGTATGTTCAATACCAAGAATAGGACAGTTGCACAATGCTTCAAGACTTCCAAATTCATTCTTACATCCTCCAAACTCCTAAAAATAATAAAAAAAAATGTTAGGAATATTATTTTTATATATTAGTATCATATTGTATCTTAAAATTCCAGGTCTGGAAAGTAATTAAATACCTGTGTTTTTGCTGGCCAAGACCAAAGTAAGATGCCAATGTTGCCATCTAAAGAAATGTGAGAAAAGACAATGTAGTAATTATCACATCAAATGAAGCCCATGTTTCACATCCATTAAATGAAAACTCACTCTCTCAATTCATTTGCAACCACGCAGTTACATAATAAAATATTTTACATGTAAATTCAAAATTTTTTCCTACTTTTTAATCACATATTTTGCAATGTCCTCTTGGCAACGCAAGCCATCAGCTGTCAGCACAATGCACGACAGACCCCCAAAAATCCTTCTTCCAAAATTCATTTTCCTCAAAAAACTCATTTAACCTGATATCAAACAAGGGCTAAATTATACTGATTCCGAAAGGACAAAAAAACATTAATGAAATTGTCACTCGAATTGAGATCTTATTCATAGAGATTTTAACTCAACGAGATCTTATTTATTTCAATATTGTGTTGTTCTGTACAGTAGAGCTTACCAAACTAAAAACCAAGGATATTTGAGGTTTTGATGCACTAACCTTCATATTTCCAGCTCTTTTACCAAATTTCGCAGTCAAGACTCCCAATGAATCAATGATCCCAACAGGGACTGGTGCAGGCCTACCAATCTCAGCAAAGGCCTCCCTAATACGAACACAATCAAATCTTTGAATGTTATGACCTGCCCAAATTCTACCATTCAAAATGCTGAAAATCTTGTCCGAAACTTCCTCAAATGACGGCGCATTAGCAACTGTATCGCGTGTTATTCCATCACATCGGGCAGACCTTGATGCGACAACAGATAAGTCCTGAGGCCTAATTAGCGTGCAATAGCTCTCGATCTCCACGAGTTTCCGAGGACAAACTATGATGGCACCGAACTCCAATACCCTGAATTTCTGTCCAATTATGTTCGGTACTGTAGTCTCTAAATCAAAGAACACAATCTCCACGACCTTTCCATTGTTCAAAGTCGAACTCGAACTTTCCATTTCTGTTTAATTCTGTCTTATCTTGTGAATGCAGATTATCGTACGATTTGGATGTACAAACATATGGTGGTATATATAAATTGAGGGAGAGAGGAATGCATGGGAAGAACAAGAATATTCTTACACAATATCTTGTGTTACAAGTTAAATTTAGTTTAGGTGTTTGTGCAAAGATGTCCTTACCTTCTTGATGATGTTAGGTGTTTGTACAAAGATGTCCTTACCTTCTTGATGATGTCCTAGTTAAAGGTAATCCCAGGAAGGCAGACAAATATTTGGTGTTAGGATAATCACAAATTGGGTTTACGTCTCAACATTGAATCACTCCGTCTAAAATATTAAGCTAATAAACTAAAACATGTTTCTTTATTTGAATTTAGTTTTCAATATACAATATGCATTGGATATGTGCAGAATTTTCATATATAGGTGACCACAAAATTTTCTTTTGCTTGTTACGATATTATGTTGAAACAAGCACTTAAATTTAGCTTTTGACCTAGGGAATTCAAGTTGTAAAGGTTTTTGGTACTTTTTGCCTCTAAAGTTAAAATATGTGGGTACATTCCAAGCAAAGAAAGTTTATTCTATTCTCTGTTCAGTTGTCTTACGTTAAGGAATTCCATAACAATGAAAGTGGGGCACGCATGCAGACATGGCAATATTGCACACGTTAACTCATTTTGACTTTCAACGTGGATAATCTTTTTATTTATTTATTTATTCTGGCTTTGTTCTTAATTTGGGCAACCATAATTTTTTCCCGTAGAGTGCTAAATATAAAAAATCTTATTTGTAATTTTCATGGATTTATATACTTACAGTGCATCATTACGAATATCAATAATCAAATACTAAATTTGACGTTCATAAAAACATAGCGTGATATATATCAAAGCTTTACTCGATAAGAAGTTTCTTATTTTATCAATAATAGTTTGACAACTCTGTCAACCAATTTGCAGTACACCAAGTCTAGGAATGGCAAAGTGCCCTGGCCCGCTCTGTGTTTCATGACGGTGATGGGAGCTAGAATTGTCCAATGGGTTGTTTTTGTTAAGAAATATATTATTATTTTGTTAACATTATTTATTAAGGGTAGAATAGTCTTTTAAGTTTCTTTATTTTTGACTATATATATAGTCTCTTTGTATCTAGGTTTTATTCATTCAATTACATTATGCAGAATCAATAAAACCCTAGCCTCTTTTTAGTCTGCTTCTCTTTGGATTGTTTAACATGGTATCAGAGCCAGGTTTCATGGGATTTGACATAATCAAAAAAAATTTTTTTTTTTGAGAAGAGACGATTTTGGGAGGATTTTTCGTTCTGTTTCTGCGATCTGGTATTTCGTTAGGGTTTTTATTCCGTTTCTGCAATTGGTATTTCTTTAGGGTTTTCATTCAGTTTCTACAATCTGGTATTTCGTTTCCCTTACTTTTGCGATTTGGGTTTCCTTATTCTTTTCTTTTATTATGGCTACTGAAAGAGGCGATTCGCTTCAATCTGTGAGTGTGAGGTTGGATGGAAAGAATTATTCGTATTGGAGTTATGTGTTGAGAAATTTTCTTAAGGGTAAAAAGATGTGGGGATATATTAGTGGAATTTCTGTAAAACCTACGGATATTGATGAGGGTTATGCTGCTTCAATAGATACTTGGGAAGCAAACAATTCAAAAATTATTACTTGGATTAACAATTCTGTTGAGCATTCCATAGGTAGAGAGTTGGCAAAGTATGATACAGCAAAGGAGGTTTGGGAACATCTGCAAAGGTTATTCACTCAGTCAAATTTTGCAAAACAGTATCAATTAGAGAATGACATACGAGCTCTTCAGCAGAAAAATATGAGTGTTCAGGAGTTTTATTCTGCTATAACAGATCTTTGGGATCAATTGGCTCTTACAGAATCGGCAGAATTAAAGGCGTGCAATGCCTTTATTGTTCATAGAGAGCAGCAACGGTTGGTACAGTTTCTAACGGCACTTCGCAGTGATTTTGAAGGACTTAGAGGTTCAATTTTGCATCGTTCTCCACTTCCTTCTGTTGATTCAGTTGTCAGTGAGTTATTGGCTGAAGAAATACGTCTTAAGTCTTATTCTGAAAAGGGAATTCTTTCTACTCCTAATCCTTCTGTGTTAGCAATGCCTTCTAAGTCACTGTCTAATAATCATAATATGTTTCACGCAAGGGCTGCCCGTGATGAGTGCAGTTTCTGTAAGGAGAAAGGTCATTGGAAGGCTCAGTGTCCTAAGTTGAGACAGCAGAATCGTACAGTGCAGCAATTCCAAGCTTGGAAGCCTGGCAATCAATCACAATCGAACGATCGTAGACCACCTCAGGGTTATAGACCACCACAGTTCAATACTGCAGCGGTAGCTTCATCGGGTCCTTTCACAGATCCTGGTACTCTGGCTGAGCAATTTCAGAAGTTTCTCTCCTTACAGCCACAAGCTATGTCTGCTTCTGTAGGTCAGTTGCCTCATAGTTCTTCAGGTATGTCACATTCTGTTTGGGTCTTGGATTCTGGTGCTTCACATCATATGTCTCCAGATTCTTCATCTTTTGCTTCCGTGTCTCATTCGTCTTGTATTCCTGTCATGACTGCTGATGGCACTCCTATGCCTTTAGCAGGTGTTGGTTCTGTTGTCACACCTCACTTGTCTCTCCCTAATGTTTATCATATTCCGAAACTCAAATTAAATCTTGCTTCTGTTGGTCAGTTATGTGATTCTGGTAATTTAGTCACATTTTCTTCTTCTTCTTGTTATGTGCAGGATCTCCAGTCTCAGAAGCTGATTGGGACAGGCCGTAGGAAGGGGGGACTATATGTTTTGGATGAGTTAAAAGTACCAGTTGCTGCTGCTGCTACTAGTGTTGATTTATCTTCTTTTCGTTTGAGTCCTTCTTCTTCTAGTTTTTATTTATGGCATTCTCGTCTAGGTCATGTTTCGTCTTCTCGTTTGAGATATTTGGCTTCTACAGGGGCATTAGGAAATTTGCAACCTTATGATATTTCAGATTGTAGTGGATGTAAACTGGCAAAATTTTCAGCTTTACCTTTTAATCGAAGTATTTCTATTTCTTCCTCTCCATTTGATTTGATTCATTCTGATGTATGGGGGCCTTCTCCTGTTGCCACAAAAGGAGGGTCCCGGTATTATGTTTCTTTTATTGATGATCATACTCGTTATTGTTGGGTTTACTTAATGAAACATCGTTCTGAATTCTTTGAGATATACACAACATTTCGTGCTCTTGTCAAAACTCAACATTCTGCTGTTATCAAATGTTTTAGGTGTGATTTGGGTGGGGAATACACTTCTAAAAAATTTTGTGAACTGCTTGCCTTAGATGGAACTATTCACCAAACTTCGTGTACAGATACTCCTGAGCAAAATGGTGTTGCTGAAAGAAAACATAGGCACATTGTTGAAACTGCTCGCTCTCTCTTGTTGTCTACTTCAGTTCCTAGTGTGTATTGGGGTGAAGCTGTTCTTACTGCTGTAAGTTTGATTAATACAATTCCATCTTCTCATATTTCGGGTTTCTCTCCTTTCGAAAAGTTGTATGGGTATGCCCCTGATTATTCTTTCTTTAGAGTTTTTGGTTGTACTTGTTTCGTTCTTCGTCCTCATGTAGAACGCAGCAAGTTGTCATCTCGATCTGCTATTTGTGTCTTTCTTGGTTATGGTGAAGGTCAAAAGGGGTATCGTTGTTTTGATCCAATAACTCAGAAACTTTATGTGTCTCGTCATGTTGTGTTTCTCGAGCATATACCTTTCTTTTCTATTCCATCAACTACTCATAGTTTGACTAGATTTGATCTTATTCGTATAGATCCTTTTTCTACTGATTCTGATAGTTTGTCATCTCAAGTTCCTAGCACTTCAAATACTGATCATTCTGCATGTACTGACACTTTACTCTCCGGCACACCTGAGGCTCCCTCTTCTCCTATGGTCCCTCAAGCTCCGTCTGAGACTGTGGATCCACCTCTACGTCAATCCATACGCATTCGTAAGTCTACAAAGTTACCAGATTTTGCTTATTCTTGTTATTCTTCATCTTTTACTTCCTTTTTAGCTTCTATTCATTGTCTCTCTGAGCCCTCTTCCTATAAAGAGGCAATTCTTGATCCTCTTTGGCAGCAAGCTATGGATGAGGAACTTTCTGCTTTGCATAAGACTGGTACTTGGGATTTGGTTCCTCTACCTCCTGGTAAGAGTGTTGTTGGTTGTCGTTGGGTGTATAAGATCAAGACTAATTCTGATGGATCAATTGAGCGATACAAAGCTAGGTTGGTTGCAAAAGGGTACTCTCAACAGTATGGTATGGATTATGAGGAGACATTTGCTCCTGTTGCAAAAATGACTACTATTCGTACTCTTATTGCAATAGCTTCGATTCGTCAGTGGCGTATCTCTCAACTTGATGTTAAAAATGCTTTCTTAAATGGAGATCTTCAAGAAGAAGTTTATATGGCTCCCCCTCCTGGTGTTCCACATGATTTTGGGTATGTTTGCAAACTCAAGAAAGCGTTGTATGGTCTCAAACAAGCACCTCGTGCTTGGTTTGAGAAATTTTCTGTTGTGATCTCTTCTCTTGGATTTACTTCTAGTAGTCATGATTCTGCTCTTTTTGTTAAGTGCACTGATGCAGGTCGTATCATTCTATCTTTATATGTTGATGACATGATTATTACTGGTGATGATATTGATGGTATTTCAGTCTTGAAGACAGAGTTGGCTAGACAGTTTGAAATGAAGGATTTGGGTTCTCTACGATATTTCTTGGGTATTGAGGTAGCCTGCTCACCTAGAGGTTATCTTCTTTCTCAGTCGAAATATGTTGCAGATATTCTTGAACGGGCTCGACTTACTGATAATAAGACTGTTGATACTCCCATTGAGGTTAACGCAAAGTATTCTTCTTCTGATGGTTTGCCTTTATCAGATCCTACTTTATACCGTACTATTGTTGGGAGCTTGGTATATCTCACTATTACTCGTCCAGATATTGCATATGCTGTTCATGTTGTTAGTCAGTTTGTTGCTTCTCCTACTACAGTTCATTGGGCAGCTGTTCTTCGTATTTTGCGATATCTTCGGGGTACAGTCTTTCAGAGTCTTTTACTTCCATCCACATCTTCCTTGGAGCTGCGTGCATACTCTGATGCTGATCATGGCAGTGATCCCACAGATCGTAAGTCTGTTACTGGTTTCTGTATCTTTTTGGGTGATTCTCTTATTTCTTGGAAGAGCAAGAAGCAATCTATTGTGTCTCAATCTTCAACCGAAGCAGAATATCGTGCTATGGCATCCACTACCAAAGAGATTGTTTGGTTACGTTGGTTACTTGCAGATATGGGAGTTTTTCTTTCACATCCCACTCCTATGTATTGTGATAATCAGAGTTCCATTCAGATTGCTCACAACTCGGTTTTTCATGAACGAACTAAGCACATTGAGATCGATTGTCACCTTACTCGTCATCATCTCAAGCATTGCACAATTACTTTGCCATTTGTTTCTTCTTCTTTACAGCTTGCAGATTTCTTTACCAAGGCACATTCTATTTCTCGTTTTCGTTTTCTTGTTGGCAAACTCTCGATGCTTGTAGCTGCTGCATCGTGAGTTTGAGGGGAGATGTTAAGAAATATATTATTATTTTGTTAACATTATTTATTAAGGGTAGAATAGTCTTTTAAGTTTCTTTATTTTTGACTATATATATAGTCTCTTTGTATCTAGGTTTTATTCATTCAATTACATTATGCAGAATCAATAAAACCCTAGCCTCTTTTTCTTCTTCTTCTCTTTTGATTGTTTAACAGTTTTTACCCAGTCCACGGGAGATAGGAGATTAGGGCTGTAGTTAGGGAATCGAGAAACATGGATACTGTCTAAACCCAATGTGACTTTTACCTTTTATTTTATTTTATATTTTTAAATTTAAAGCATAATTTAAAAAAAGTATTAAAGAGCAAGTAAATAGAAAAAACAGGTATATTTTGATTTCTAACCCATCTCATGAAAATCCCAAAGGGGCAAGGGACTATGAAACGCCTGCGTTGGTAGGAACTCAGAGTGCTGTCTTCGCTTTTGATGGTATTCTCCCTTGAACATTCGTTCTATTCTGATTCCACTTCTTGCTTCTTGAGCCTTCGATTGCTTGCTCAGGCCTAGCCTATCCTTTGCCCTCCTAGATGTGTCAATCCGGGTGGTACGGATCGAGTCGGCTAGCGAACATATGAGCCTGGTAACGGTCTACGTGAAAAAAAGCCCGTCCGCTACGAGTTTCGGGCCGGTTTCGGGTCGGTCCACAAAATTTGGACTACAACTCAGGCCCGTCAACTGATCCATCTAGGTCGAGCCCATGCGGGTCATGGGTCGCGCGGATCGTGGTTTGTTCCGATTTATATAAATCAAATTATAAAAATATAGAATTTTTCATATTTATAGCAAAAAATATTTTTTTTGTTAAATGTAAATTAGGAATTGAATAAAATGATAAATTCATATTTTTACTAAAAAATGTTTACATAGAATTCAAATTTAATGTTACATGAATTATTTATAACTTTGTAAAGTTAAATTTAAATTTAACTTAAACAAATAACAAATAAATGCATTTTCAATTACTATTATCAAATATTTATAGTATAAGTATATCACAACTAGGTTGTCACGTACTTTTATTATAATTTATAGTTTAAGTACATCCCAATTAGGTTGGCTCCCCCCCTCCCCCACCCCCCTTTTTTTTCAAATTTAAAAAAATAAAAAATTCACGGGCCAATGGGTTAACCGCGGCCCGTGAAGGTGCAACTCTTGAAGCCCGCGGATCACACCTCCTTGACCCATGAACTGCCCGCTCGGGTCCCGAGTTGATCCGGGCCTATTTTCACGGGTCTGACCGGCCCGTTCGTCTTGATACCTCTATGCCCTCCCGATACTATTCCTATCTAGGTCCTAGTTGAATAGGCCGATTCATAGAGTTTTGTTTATTTTTAGCGAAATAGTTTTTAGCCTATAACCAGGCCATTCAAATTGGCACATCTGGTGTGGTTTGGAAAACTGTTAAATACTCTTTGACAAGAACATGGAGGCATGCAAAGAGAATACAAAAAATCTTCACCCAATGTTGAAATCGAAGGACAAGTAAAAATGAAATTTTTTTTGAAGTCATAACCTAGTTTTGGGATTATTCATTAATTAACTGAAAATGAATTGAAAAACTTATCCAACTGAAAGTCTAGCCGTGGAGATGTAATTACAATAAAAATACAAATTGTCCCTTGAACCGATTTTAAGGCCTTCCCAACTTTAAACTGGAATTGCCGGCCTGACTGAGATTAGAGCTTTCTTAATTCTGTCTACTCCATCCTTTAGAGTGGAAAGGGATGCTGCATACGATATGCGGATGCAGCTGTCTTCGCCAAAAGCATCCCCCGGGACAAGAGCAACCTGCGAAAAAAAGATAATTAGTATAACAATCGACATTGATGAAATTTTTCAATGCCATAAAAATCAGAATCGTTATTTTTGGACGTAGAATTCTGAACCTAGATGCTTTCGTAATTTGTTTAAGGTGATTTGTTGCTAACTTTTTAGCTTAGTGCCCATCTCAAACCCTTTAAAAACCTCAAAGAAGGCAACAATTGTAGAAGTTACACGGTTTTCTAGCTTGCTATCAGTCACGATTCTATAAAATGTAACAAGAAGGAAACTTTAAACTGCTTAGCATCTCAAACATCACACAAGTGTTTTTAGATTAAGGTGTTTTAATTTTTATTTTCAGCAGGGAACATGCACGAAGAGTGGAAGATCTTACTTGAGCCTTGTCAAGCAAATATCGGCACAGGGACTCGGAACCATTAATGGCACCAAACCCGTCGATCTGCGCTCCGAAGTAAGAGCTGAAATCAAGGAAGAGGTAAAAAGCTCCCTGCAAGTGTTCACCAAAAGTTATGTATCAAGGCGAAGATAGAAAATAATTATTTTCAACTACCTAAATTAGATGTCTCTATATGTATTATCCAGTAGGCTCTTGCAAGAATAGCAGGAAAAAGGAAATTGAGCTGTTACCTGAGGCACTGAGATTTTAACTCCCTCCATTTCTCCGAAGCTTTTAACCAGAAAATCTCTCCGCTCTTGGAATGCCTTGACCATAACTGACACTGTTTCTCCACCAGCATATCCCATTCCTAAAGCGGCAAATGCTGCCTTTTGAGATATACTGCTGGCACCCGAAGTCGACTACGAAAAGAAAGCACCCAAACCTTATTGCATTTATGGTATAAAGCAGAACTAACACTGGTATATACATGTTCGACGATGAATACGATGCTCTGTAACACTCTACCATCGCCGTTCAGATAGAGATTGAAATTTATATTAATGCATTGGATCTCCAATTTATAGGAGGTCCAAGATACCTAATAAAATACAGACAATTTCATACAGTTTCCTTCATATAATTAGAGGTCAAATTTATACTAAGCTACGACACATTTAGCCCCTGCTTGACGACCATTATTTGAAAACTTTTTTTTTCTACGTACACATTTTTAATCACACATTCACATAATAAAATATTCTGCAAGTAAACACAAAATTTTTTTCCTACTTTTTGATCACACATTCTTCTAAAAATTACCATTCAAAACATTGTTTTTCGAAAATAATGGTTGTCAAACAGGGGCATAGTGCATGTTTCGAAAGTGATCAAATTAAGTTTAAGTGATTATAAGTTGTGCGCCTTATGAAATGTGTGGATAAAAAGTATGATTGGCCAGAAGTGATTAAATTATAATCACTTTCTAAACGTGCTCTTAAAGTTGTTGGGTTTTTTGATACCCAATAAATCCGGGTAATGATGTTAAACCGGTTTATTGTTGGATTATACTTCATAGGCCTCGGCCGATGAGTGAAGTTGTGTATCGACACCACGATTGTTTAAACCTTTCCCCGTAACCCACTTGGGCCATTTGAAGCAGCCTAATTATATTAGTGCTGCTCATGGCCTACCCAATCTTGGAGGGCTTCTATTATCTGTTGACAGCCCACTCATTTGCTGTTGGGCCTAATTAGTTCTAACCTTAAAAACCCATCCTATTCCTATATATGAGCTTGCCCATTACTGTTGTAGCTTGAGAGATATTATATAGCCCCCTTTATTTGAGAAGAAAACCGGCGGTATTTTTGGCTTGCTTTGTGCTCTGCCTTACTGCCTTCCTACTTCGCGCTCACTGTCTTCTCCAGCCTTGGTGGCTTGTGGCTATTATATCCTCCATTTCTAGTCCTTTGTGGACAGACTCAAAGCAATCGGATTGGGACTTTGTTTAGTGTGTTGGCTTGGGGATTGGGTTTGTCGATCGTGGTGTCGATTTGGATTGACTGAGCCCGGTCTTGGAGTAGCTTGGAGCCCTATTTACAACATATGGTATCAGAGCCACTTGGGTGGTGAGAAATCCGGTGCAATCCAAGGAAAAAGAGAAGAGGGCAGTCGGGCTTAGGCGAGTTCTTCAAGGAGCGCACCCACTCTTTTTTCAATTCCGGCCAAACCATCCACTACCCGAAAAAATTGAACCCATATTCGAGCTCTGCAGACTGAGGCGCTGCTGGGTGGTGCAAAAATTAGCAAAAAATCGAGCAAAAAAAAAAAAAACTGTCCAAATTTTTCTTTAAAAACCGAACCTGCAATCTTGATTTCTGGCCAAACCAGTGGTCATTTGGAGAAACCAACACCACATGAGGCCTCTGCAGGTGGAGGTGAAGCTGGGTGGCCGGCTTGTGTGAACGGCGGCGGCGCGTGGGGACTCCGACGTGGCGCGTGGAGGCGCGTGGATGACTTGCTGAAGACGGTTTCTTTAGGCAGTTTGTTATATTCGATTTCCTGAACGTATTGATATATTTAATTTAGTGTTTCAGGTTTTGCAAGAAATTTTGGACGATTTTGCCCCTGCGTTTATAATTCAATTATCGTTCGGTTGATTGCCGTAGTTGCTGGAGACTTTAGGGCGAATAGTGGTGGCTCTAAAGTGATAAGTTTGCTTCTCTCGTAATTTACGGACTCAGATAGGTCCGATCTGGTAAATTGGCTTATCCCGTTTAAATTTCAGCATTAGCGCGTCATCGTGTGAGGTGACATTAGGATTGGGGTTACCATGAAGGGGTAACCATTACTTGTGCTAGAATTTTAGGAATTTGTTGATCTATTTGAAGTGATGAATTTAACTGCAAGTTGGTAATTGCTTTTGTGCTGGAACTGTTGTTTTGTCTTTGTGTGAGATTCCTTTGCGTGGAAATTTGAATTTTGTTGACATACCTTCAAATTT